TTAGACGATCTAACTTATTTTTCCAAGGCTCCTTGATTAAAAATTAGTGTTCTTAACACAGCCATGGCACTCTAGATTGAAATTTAAAATTTAATTTGGTTTTAAGCGAAAATGTCAACAGTTGATATATGATATGTCGTTCTATTCAGAGTGTCATTTTCTATCGAATAAAGAAAAAAATACCGAAGGTGCCATTTAAAAATCAAAAGTTGTAGTCATCTCCAGTGGAACAGGAAGTTGCCGAAAAGAATTGAATACGTCAATCAATCCTAATTTATGTCATATACTAACATACCAAATCACGTTTTTTATATGCAAAAATAAAAAAATCTTATAGGGTTTGAGATGCACCCGGTATACATAATTATCGAAATACCGAAGCTGTCAAACTTTCAAATTTTGATAGTACCTATATTTTTTTGGTGAACGAACAGAGATGATAGGTGTTAGCTTTAAGACTACCGTTCGAGAGGCATTGATGTTATTTTGGTTTGTAAATTTTAGTTTTCTCATTTTATTTTACTAGCGTTAACTAAAACATATAACTTATTTTCCTGTTGTAATATTCTGTACTAAAGCTTTTCCTTATTTATTTGATCTGGCAAAGGTATCATATAACAGGTGTACTATGTATTTGATTGGAAGGAATAATTTCAGTTTAAAATTAATCTAAATACAATCGTTTACTGTTCATTTGTGCCGATGTTTTTGGTTCAGTGCAGTGTAACAATAAGGGCCTTGTTGAATATACTAACATTTTTCGACCGTGACTGGCAATATCTTAGCTCATAAAAGAGCAACCAAAAACAATAAATAGTTATAATCGAAAGATATTTGCACCAAACCTTCAATTTTCGGGCGGCGACCTGCTACTAACGAAACTAACAAAAACTCTTCAATTTTGAATGTAATAAATGTGCTATATTTTGAATGTAATAAATGTACCATATTTTGATTGTATTAAACTTCAAACCTTGGTAGGAGGAAAGTTATTATTAATTCTCTTTTATTAGAGTTCAGACAAGCGTAGTTGGATTCTTTGGAGGAGTGATCTAGGTTTTCTCTGCCGTGCTTTTTTACTTGTGAATTCCAGGCAAAGCACGGCACTCATTTCATTTCATTAATAAAATAAGTAGGGCTATTTATAAATTTAGCGTTTAATTTACATAACCTCTTCTCAAATTTCCATAGTATTGTTTCTGTCGAGCGCATCCGAGGTAAGTCACAATAAAAATATATTTTTAACACAACGTAGGTTGCTTTATTTTATTTGAATTGTTTGGTATACAGTTGGCCATCATCTTACCTCTTCAACTTTGTTGAACAACCCTGGGATGTTATACTACACGTGATATTTTTGCCCATAACGCTATACAAAATAAATAAAGAAACTGAATCTGGCGTCCGAATAATCAAAAGCCATATTATATCGGGTATTATGTTGCACATGCTAAATACAATCAACCCCAAAAATAATTATTACGCTGTACAAAACAACATTAACATATTTATGTTTTATTTAATAAAGGAATTCCTATATTTAAGGGCATTTTCCACAATAATTCAATTTGACAATTCATATTGAATTTTCGGCGTTTACATACGCTTGTAAATATTTCAATTGTTCTGTAATTACTCGAAATATCGGTTCTTCTAATATCATTTTGGAACTACTGTATTAAATAATTAATTGATTATTCGGTTTGCTCGCAACCAACAATAAGCATTAGTGGTATTTATCAATCGCGCGTCAAATCCACCGCAAGCTCTGCAAATACAATATGTCAATATTAGTTTAGTTTGGTTTGACTACGGATTCGCCGAGGTTTATATTATATACAAATATAAAACTTTATTTCGTATGATAAAGCTTTTTTGAATTTCTACCAACTCTATTTATTTTGGACTTCTGTCTATTACTCGATTTGAATCCAATAAATGGCTTTTTGATTGATTTAGCCCGGCCATAGGACTCTCGATGATGTTGTAGATGTGCACGTCAACTTTGAATTGATTAATATTGCAGTTTTAATGCTACGTCATAACGAAATTTACATAAAGGTCACATTGGCAGATTTTGATTATGATATACCTACAATGTACATTTAGAGAATTTCGAATCAGATTATGTATTATTTTCAATAATTCAGAAACTGCCAGTACTTTTATTCTCAAAATGTATTTTTTGTTACTAACCTATATTTATTAGTATCTCTATCTTAAAAATATATCTATTATTTAATATCATGTGAAAAAGTTTATCTATTTTTTATAGGTATTAATTGATAATGATTAATGATAATAATATTTACAGTGCATCTCACTTCGAAGGTGTAATTTTTATCCATTCAAATTTTAGAAGCTTTTGCAGATTTGGGTGTTGATAATATAATTTAGTTATAAGTATTTCGAAGGTACGCGCAGATAAGAAGGAATATATTTCGGAGCATATATTCCTATAAAGGTAAACCGAAATTAAAAATTATTCGTTTATTGTTTTTTTATTAACACTTCTAAACGAGATGCATTTTTCTCCAATGGCACGGGCTTTTCATAAAGGCTGACACCAAGGATTGACATCATGGTACAAAGAAAACAAGGTATGATATTGCGCAGGTTCGTCACTACGTCACAGGTGATAAACGACAATATTGGTCATAACTTTTCAAAAGTCAAGATCGATGATTTGACATAACTTTTGGGGTTATGTCCTAATTCTTCCTTATTTTAGGTCAATTTTTATTAGTGGCAATTGAACAATATGGATAATTTTTGTATGGCTTATGACGTCACAGGTGCTATGCACAAACTGAACGAAATTGGAGCCGCTATCGATCATACCTTGTTTTCTTTGTATCATGGATTGACATCATATATAAACTGAACCAGATTCTACTATATGTATTGGTTATTGGAACATCTCTCCGGATTACACTTGGAGGTTGAAACCTATGGTGCTCCAACAGCAAAATAAAAACTAAATTCATTACAATACACCAAAGCACTTTACTTTTGCGTTTGTTAGAATCATCAGTAGATGATTAAAAATGATATTTAACATAGTGGAGTATACGGTTACGAGTTTGTTGAGGGCTTGCCGATTAATTTTTTCCTTCTGTTTTTATATATTCCTCTCACTATTTCAATTTTTATTTTGTTTTGACCTCGGTTAAGGGTATTGCGACGGGTTGTTGTTGGCTGCCTCCACAGCTGTGCTAGATGAAGCCTACAATCCTGGGCAACTTTAGTTCTAGGCTGCAAATTGGGGTCTTAGGCTCCCGTTTGCTCCTTTTGTTTTCATCATCTGTGTTTTTTTTCATCTGCTAGGTTCCAGATGGTACTTCGTGCGTCGTTTGCTTCCTGGTTTATATTTTTTGGGATCGTTGTCATCGCTTGCTGATTCCTTACCGTACTGATGATGCTGGAAGGCAGTTACACTAGTGTACACTGATGTAGGTGTGGTTGTTGTGTGTGAGTGTGAATCTCGTGCGTCGTTTCCTTCCAGGTTTATATTTTTTGGGATCGTTGTCATCGCTTCCTGATTCCTTACCGTACTGATGATGCTGGAAGGCAGTTATACTAGTGTACACTGATATAGGTGTGGTTGTTGTGTGTGAGTGTGAATGTCTACAACAGTGTACATTGGTGTATACGGTTACGAGTTTGTTGGGGGCTTGCCGATTAATTTTTTCCTTCCGTTTTTATAATTAAAATATATAGATGATACTAACATGGTTAGCAAAACGCGCGTCTAGTACAGAAATAAAATGCTTTGGTGTATTGTGATGAATTAGTGTCTTCTGTAGAGAAGAAGATCTATTTTTAGAGTGCACAAGGAGGCCGAATACTAAACATCCAAGGAAAAGCAGATGTAGGTATTTTTTTAGGAGCAGTTATACATCTACTCTAAATCAGTGATTTTCCCAAGTCAGAATATGAGACGATGGAAATAGAGTTTGTGGGAACACAATTGGCTGTTATTTATACCAGGTGATGCATCGTCGTTGGAGACATAGAAAATATCATACAAATTTTGAACTGTGCAATATTGGCTCCCCTAATAATTTTAGAGCTAAGTCGTACATAAGTTTTTGTAAAGGTCTGCTTATTCTAATACACATGCCAAATATGAACAATTCTGACCAAGCCGATTAAAGTAATTTAGAACTGCATCTATTTTAAATTAAAACTGAACAAGTAATGCAAAACCAGTCAAATGTCAACATACCTTAAGTTGTCAACCTATTATGTTATCATTATCAAATCTAATTTGTTAATTAAAACTGTGTGCTATCTATACTACTATGTTATATTACTTGCGCTTAGTTTCCCCGAAATGTATTGTTGTAATTTAAAACTTGGTTTACAAAAGATCATTTCACATTGACAAAATTATAGGATGGCAAGTTAAGGCACGTTTGCAACAGGGGAGCCATTATATGTACAGTTCAAAATTTGCAGGCGATTTTCTATGTTTCCAACGACGACGATGCACCACCCAATATACAGGGTGAGTCTTAAATAAGTGCAAATATTTTCAGGGCTGGTAGACTTTGATAAAAGAAACATATTTTCTCTTTACCGGTTTTCAAATAAATCCAAAATAACTGAGTTATTTTACTTTGAAAATTTCCAAAAGAAAGATTATTATTTTGAGAATTTAATTTTGAGAACCACTGGATCTTTTCCGAATTTTCTTTCTTGCAAATTTAATCGACTACCTATGTTGCCATATTATCAGGAAATTCTGTCTTTAACTAAAAACTAAAAAAAATCAAATTTTCAAAATTCTGTTTTTCGTGAAAAAAACCTCATAATTGTGTTTCTGTGGTCGAAATATACATCCCCTAAAAATATTTGACTTATTTAAGACTGATCCTGTATAATTAGTTTTAATGTATAACTATCTCACTTCTTTTAATATATCCATAAAAGTCCGTAAATTGGAAATTAAATGGTAAAAATTGGATATATTTTAATGTATTTTATTTTTGTTTCAGGATATTCAAAACTCTACACTTGGTATTGCATACAACTGTTCCTGTGCTAGTATTTCTATCAATGAAATTAAGCATATGATAAGGGCCTTTCAAAAACGTAAGTAAAAGGATATCGTTAGGTTGTCCATTTTTTTTGTAACGATAAAACGTCAGTAATCGCGATAATTTAAAAACTCAACTTTTAACACATAACACGCCATAACTTAAGAACCACTTTAGATATTGAAACTTTTTTTTATTTTGAAGATCGGATCTTTAACAATATGTTTAAATGAGAAAAATTCGATAAGGTTGTTTTTTTTTATTAAAACATTTTTAACAACCCATCCATTTACTTTTAGTACATAATTTTCAGCAATCATATGTAAGTTTTTTATTTATAAATATTTTCACATACTGTCTGCGAGGAAAATGTTAAGAAAGTTTTTGAAAAAACTACAATGAATTGTTTTTAATAGATTTTGATATATCGATTCATTTTGAATTCTAATAGCGCCACCACTGTCGAACAACTCAATTCCACTTATTATTACTAAAAATTTAAGTGTTTATAACTAGCACTTTAAAATTTTGAAACTCTGGGGAAAATTACAAAGTCTCGTTAGTAAATAAACAAATAAAGTATCGCGAGACGTAATTAAATCGTGAAGCTGAACGCATGATGTACACCTTTCTCTAGAACTTTATGTACTGACAGAGGTACTGATTGCGTCGACCGGTGGACTGCGACAAATCTGCTATATTCTCTTCCAGGTCTCTTAGCAATGTGCTCAGTTTATCGGTTTATTTCGTGCGTTTGGCAATATGTTTACTGTTCTCTCTTTGTTCAATACATTATAAACGCTTTGTACTCGTCTTAGATACGGAATTCTTGACCCAAGACTAATCTTTGCCAGCCCATATACTCTACTTAGATTAATAAAGCTATTAGTAAATAATTACGTTAAATAATTAAATAACTGTTTAAATCTGAATATTTAGTTTCTTTATACAATAGATTACATGGAAGGGGGGAAGTTAATCACCGCTACCTTATAGACCTATTGTGTTTCCCTTTCTTGAGTTATAATTCGTCATACAGTCTCAGGGCTTTGACAAAAGCCAGTATCTAAAACGGTTTTACGGAGGTTAGTTCTCCATATCCGATATCAGTCGTACGTTTATGGCACAAATGGTTGTCGTCTAGGCGCACTCAGTAATTAGGTGTTCTGGTGTTTCCCCATTTTCCTTACAGAATCTCACTTTAGATCTTGGCTTCAATCTACTGAGGTATTCATTGACAGCGTCTTGTTAAAATCCCCGTGACGATCATTATTTTCCTTAGACATTCTCTCAATAAAGTATTAGCTTTGCTTTTATTTTCTGCCCTATTCTAATAAGTTTTACATAAAATAAATAGAGATATAAAAGGAATCTACGCCAAATCAATATTTTGCATAAAACATATTTAGCTTTCAAAGCGGTGCATCAACCTCAAATCCTTCCTCGTCTTGCCATAATTTTCAGAATCGTTATAATTAAAAAAGTTGGGCTATTATCATTCTCTGGGGCCATAAAAATGTATTTCTCGTATATTTCCTTCAGTTAATTTAACTTAAAGTTGGCAATTTATAGGGACGGGTTATCTAAGGCAGTTCTTCTCGCTCTACACTACTTTCGGAGATTAATGCCAGCGAACTTTCAAATTTAATTAGCGCCTCGCGCGATGGTTTATCACTTTATTTATCATCGTTGGCCAATCTTGCTCGCTTCGCACCGATAAATCATATCAAAAAGTTACGATACGATACATCAAAGAAGGGAAAATCGATAAAAAGGATATATTTATGTTCGGTATCTGCTGAGACGAGCCGGAAGATTGTTTTTCAATAATCGGCAAATGTCTGCAGATATATTAATAATGTGCTACTACAGCTGCAAAAGGGGAGTATCACTTTATGAAATTATAAGCGTCACCTGAAGATTGACTTCGTTCATTTTTTGTCCTATATTTTTTATATGGGTTCCGGATGTTCCGGATGTCCAGTCAAGTGAATTGATCAAGTCACTTGATATCAATTGATTTGAAATCATATTCCGAGTTTACCCATATCATGTCAAAAAGTTTCTCTAGTTGATTCAAAATGGCGACTGTGAATAAGATCGTACTTCAAACTGCCAACATTTTGGCAATACTGGACGTAAAAAAGAAATGGGTCAGAACATGCATTAGTTACAGATCTATATATTTATGGTGCATCTAATAATTTAATACATGAGCTATAGTTAAGAGATCCTGTAGTCTAAGAGCTGGTTACATAAAAAAAAACTTATCATCGTTACATGGCTAATTATTTTTCTTGTGAAGTATCCTTTTGTGTAGCCATTATGAAATAGTCATGTCTGCCAGCGCGATCCCGGGGCTTAAAGTGGAGGCGGCCAATCGAAAGGGTGAAATTTTGACACTAAAAATATTATAAGGTACACGAGTTGTAATTGTGAAAATAGCTTTTATTTATTATTAAGGAACATGGCAAAATTGTTGGCAGACATTTTTTTCGTCGCTAAAATGCCTACAGATTACGCGAAAGAGGCATGAAATTTTGAAAAAAAGTTATGGAATACATGGAAGCCGATTGGTGGAATGTCATATTTATTTATTTTAAAAGCTGCATGCAAAAGGGGCAGACAAAAAGATAGGGCTAAATCAGCGGCAGACAGTTATCAAAAGCGCGATATTACTCTAGCGCTTTCAGGTAACACTTGCTGCGTCTTCCATTTAAGTATACCTAGATAAATCATGTATACGATTATATTATAAATATATTTTTTTTTATTATTTCAATAACAGATATACATTTACTATTCTGTCTCGATCTCGTAAACGAGTCTTCCTCTGTGATATATTTCGACCCCAGCAACACGTCTATGAGGTTTTTTCGCAAAAAAAGATGTTGAAAATCGTGCATTTTTTTTAATTTCTTTGTATATTTTAGAAAACTTTTTAGAACTGCCTGTTCACCGCAAATTTACCCACGGTAAAATTTCTTAATCTACCATGCTTACGGCGTTGCTCTATGGTTATGACACTAAAAGAATGATACACACTACACACAGAACCAATACAAATACAGAAAAAAAGCAGGTGGCTCACAAAATTATTTAAAAATAAATCAATTTTTATTTTTAATTTTCAAACTTGTATAACTCGGTTATTTTAGACTCACCCTGTAGAGCAATATCGCGCTTTTGATAACTGCCTACCGCTGATTTAGCCCTAGCTTTTTGTCTGTCCTTTTACATACGGCTTTTTAAATGAATAAATATGACATTCCACCAATCGGCATACATGTAGGCCATGATTTTTTTGTCGAACTTTCATGCCTCTTTCGCGTTGTCAGCCGGCATTTTAGCTACGAGAAAAATGTCTGCCAACAATTTTCCACGTTTCTTAATAATAAATAAAAGCTATTTGGCAATTATAACTCGTGTACCTCATAATATTTTTAGTGTCAAAATTTCACTCTTTCGATTGGCCGCCCCCGCTTTATGCCTCGAGTTCGCGCTGGCAGACATGACTATTTCATAATGGCTACCTAAAAGGATACCTCACAAGAAAAATTAGCCATGTAACGATGATAAAGTTTTTTATGTAGCCAGCTCTCCGTCTATTAGAGATTATAAAAAAATACTGTAAACGAATTTAATTTAAATTAATTTTTGTTAAAAAAAGTTGCACTCAGAATTAATGCGTAAGGCTATTTGTACCCGGCCTAATAAGAATCTCTTGGTGCGTGCGTACGAAAATCCTGTTGAACAAAAAGGATAGACTTATACAAGATTGCTATTCCCATTTCTTTTCTTTGGCTTAACATTCCATTGTGTAAATGCGCCACTAGCAATATATCTTATAATATATTTGGTCGTCACCAAGAATTAATCAAAAACCGAAACCAAACCAAAACAAAAAAAGTTTACATGTAAAACAAAACACATACATTTCTCTGTTTCACTCGCTCTCCGGCATTTAAGTGATTAACAATTTAAATATTTGCAATACATATTTGCGACATCCATTCGATTTCCAATTTTAATTTGCTACATTTCGATTAAGCAAACAATAAACAGAGAAAAATATTTAATTGAATATCGAATTTTATCAAAACAATTCATGTATAACAATAGGTTCGTGAATATCCTTTGTTTTTTATATAGAAAATATTGAAGATAATATATTAAGTAAAATAAGCAAAATTAATCCTTTAATTCAAAATATTCTCAAATTACAAACTTATTTAAAAGTAACTAATTTTTTATAGTTTGAACTATATTATCAGGTTCATCAAAGTCGTTAATATATCATCATCATCATTTTTAGCTTATTCAACCATTTCCATTTATGGAATTGTAGCCTCCCTCACATATTCTTTCTAGTTGGGCCCATTGTTGTCTATTTTTGGCTATGCAGGCCCAAATTATCCCTGCTAATTTCCTAATATCATGGTTCCATCTCAGGTTCGGTCTTCCTCTGTGTGTCTTAATTCCTCGTGGGTACCATGGTGTAATTATTGTGGTCCATTGTCTGTTCTTGTTGCCAGATGTCCTGCCCATTACCATTTGAGGGATTTGACTCTGTGGATAACATCTATTACCTGGGTCTTTTGTCGTATTCACTCTATTCTTTTACGATCTCTTTTGGTTATTCCCAGCATATTTACCTTGAATTGAGCGTTGTGTGACCTGCAGTTTTCTTGTGATGGCCGTTTTAGGTGTCCAGGTTCCACATGCATTGGTCATGATTGGCAGTACATCAATGTGTACTAACTGTAATAGATAATTAATATATAGAGCGGCATTCTAGGTTTGAATATGATTGATGAGTTAATATATAATATATTAACTAAATAATAATAAGAGAATATAATCAAAACTGTCTTAAGCCTTATTAAAATGATTTCAGAAGAAAATCAGTTTTAATAATCTGCTTATGATGTTAGCCTCGTGTATTGTGTAGCCTCGTGTATTAGTGTTAGTGTTTTTATTTTGTATTAGTGTGTGCCTCGTGTATTAGTGTTTTTATTTTGTTGTAACACCAAAGTTTCCAACCCTCAACCTGTA